GCTGGTGAGGACATTGTGAGGTGAACATTCTCATAAACTGCTAGTGAGAGTGGGAACAGTATTTGTTTCAAGAATAATTTTAAAGTATGTGTCATCTCATTATCCTGCCTCCCGGAATCTCTCCTGGGGAAATAATGAGAAATACAGTAAAAAATTATGTATAAGCAAGTTCAGGGCAGATTCATTTTTAATAGTAAAGGCTTAGGTGGGACTTAAATATTCTGTAATATGGGTATGTTACATAAATGACAGGATACTTATAAAGAGAAGGTAAGTCAGCTCTTAGAGTGTTTCAGAAGAATGTTTTGAGGATACTCACATGATATAATGTTATGGTTTTTATAAAAAAGCAATCTATTGTATTTTACATAAAGCATATGATGGCAATTGCATTTTGTCAAAAATCTACAGGCAGAAGGAAACAGACGAGATATTAACAATGGTTATCTCTTTGTTTGCAGAATACTAAGTTTTCCGATAAAAACTGCAGATAAAAACTTAGAAAGCATAGGACTTCTGCTAGCTTTGTCCTTACCTGGCAAATCTCCTGCAAAGACTCTGGGGTCAACTATATCTCACCTCCTTGCAGTAGTTCCTGAGAAATTAGGAGGGACTCAAACTTGATAAGCAGTTGATTAAAACCCTACTTAGCACAGCACAGGGTGGGAAAAGGGGCAGCTGGGTGTGAAGGTGATGGAAGGGGAGTTATGGGAGGAGGAGGTCATCCAAAGGTTGAGAAACAACTTACACAAATTGCTTTTGTTCAGCCTGAAAAAGCATTTCCATTTAGTTCTTCAGCTTAGTGCTGTGGCCAAAGTCCCGAGAGTGGTGGAGTCATTGTACCCACTTGTATATTCAGGTCCCATCCAGGCAGTGGGAAATTCCAAAGAAATAGGCATAATCAGTCGGACGTACTGTAATGTGGGGATGCTTTTAATGAATGTGCAAAGGTTGTATGGATCAACTGTCCATTTGATTAATTCCTCTGGCAGGAGAGAATTAAATGCACTTAGGCTACACACCAGCAAAGGCTGAATGCTCTTTAAAATGTGATTTTCTGTGCTAAGGCCAATTTTTTTTTTTTCCGGGCAAAACATTTCTTGAGATAATAAAAGTCAACGAGAAAATGGAATTTTACATATAAATAGTCACTACGTACCACTTTGTCAGAAAAGCATCTAAAGTGCAAAACAAGGTCAAGGTCTATATAGTATTCACCATTATTTGCAGTAAATCTTCCTTTCTAGTTCTTATTTGCATTGTTCCACAGAAGGGGTGATAAATTTCTGTTTTAGAGATAATTCCTTGCCAAAGCTTTACCTTCTTCCTCTCTAGAAGGCGTTCAACATTAGTGTACTAGAAGTTTCTAAATCCAAATGAGGCAATTATCTTCTTCAACCCTTGGGCAAGTGTAAAGGCTCAGGGAAATGGAAAAGTCTTGCACTTTTTTTTATTAACATATAATGTATTATTTGTTTCAGAGGTACAGGTCCGTGATTCATCGGTCTCACACAATTCACAGCACTCACCATAGCACATACCCTCCCCAATGTCCATCACCCAGCCACCCCATCCCTCCCACCCCCCCCCACTCCAGCAACTTTATCACTTGGAATGCTAACATCCGATATGTCCGCAGAAAGGAACGAGACATATTGTGATAGGTATAGGAAAGCTGGGACACATACTCAAGTCTCAAAAATTGTTTCACTGAATCTGCTCAAGGAGTGAATTTCTTGAATGCCTATCATGTGCCCAACATGGTGTTGGGTCCCCACGGAGCAGAGCAGTGAGTAGATCAAAGTCAACATTACCATGGAACATACAGTCTAGGGCAAGAGAGACATTAATGGAATGGCTCAAATATATAATAGCTTCATTATTCTGTTGCAAGCGATGTAAATTCCCAAACTATTAGCTTATATTCCAAGGCTGGCGGAAAAACTCACTGCCAACGAGAATCCTGGACCAGATTTCCTTCCTGTTTAGGGTTGGTGTCTTACTGAGAATCACTATAAAGACAAAGACACATGAGAGGGTCCACTCTGAATGAAGTCTGAGGTGGGAAAACTTTTCCTTTGGCCCACACCAAATGAGCACCTCTAATGGACTGATCTCAAGTGAAGGCCAAGTACAACCCTAAGATGCCCAAAGCCCCCGAGACTTGCCGTTGCCAACACTGTCCCAACCACAGAGAAACTCGCGTCTCTCTCGGAACGGATGTTATCTGCCTTTTGTCCTAAGCTGGGGCAGGGAGGAGTGTTGGTCCCCAGCCCAGAGCAGAAGACAGAGAAGCTGTTCTTCCTTCTTTGGGAGCCAAGGCAGAGTCTTGTGTGGATCCCTCTCGTGAGTCAACCTCCTCTTTGATTCTGTCTATTCCTACCATCTGGGTCTTCAATATTCAACCACTATTCATTCATTCGACAGATGCTAATTTCAAGGTCTACTAGGTGCTGGTGACATAGCAATGAACCAGACAAAGCTCCTTGACCGCAAAGAGATTCCATTCCAAAGGGGAATGCAGCCAATAAGCAAGGAAGCAAGCAAATCTTTGCAGAATGTGGGAGATGTTAGGAAGAAGGTAAACAGAGGGAACCATCCGGGTTATTGCTGTGTGTGTGTGTGTGTGTGTGTGTGTGTGTGCGGTGGGTGAGGCTGGATTTTAGTGAGAGAGGTCATGGAAGGCGTCCTCAGATCTGAGGACAGAACGAAAGGATGAGAAGGTGACTATGGAACAGTGAGCCTAAGAAAGGCATTCCAGGCAGAGGGAAACCCGTGTGTATAGAAGGCTCTAATTTTAGGGGATCAAGGAACAGAAAGGAGGCCAGTGGGGCTGGGGTGCAGGGACTGAGGTGTCAGGTGATGGGCAGGAACTGCTGGGTCCCAGGGGGAATTCAGATTTTAGTCTAAGTTCAGTGGGGAGTGACCAGAGACAGTGATGTGGCCTCAGCAGGCTCCCCCCTGCACCCCCCAAAAACGATACACAAGAGTAAATATGGAAAGGTTTGAGGTCAACTGTGGGTGGAAGGTCCGACCGGGCAGGAAAGTGAATTAAAAAAATGAACACCATGGGGGCAAGCGGGAGAGATGAACCATGAGCTCTTGTTCTATGGATAATGTTGGGATCTTCCCACATCCCATTTCATCCCATGAGCACCGTGATTACAGTTCCACTCAGCGTTCCCTGGAAATACATCTGAGGATTTGACCAGAAGGCTGCAGGTGGCAACATTTAAAAACAGGTGAGGGAAAATTAAATAAAAGATAGCATTGATTCTATGTGGCCATTCTGACCTTCACAATTCATGACTATGTCTTTGCCATCTACAAGTCACTTATTTAGAGTGAGCCAGCCATTCATGTACGCAACTCAGTTTGGAGAAGAAAGGATTTAGGCTCAACGGAATTATAAGGGGAAAGGGTGCACACTTGGAGTAGACTTTACAGAAATCTCAGCAGAATTAAAATAGCCTGCCCTCACTCTCCTTTGCCCAAGCTGTGCTGTCAGATACATTTTCATAAAATAGAGTTTTCGTCGTTTTACTCCTCTGATGAAAAATTCCCAACAGTTTATCACTACTTACTGGATAAAGAAAGTATGCTGCACACTTTATGGTCGGACTCTGCCCACCTTACCAGGCTTATGACCAACCATATCCCCCCAAGTCAAGAGTCTACCCCCTCTTCTAGGAACAGGTCTTGGATTCTCCCATTTCCCTGTCTTTGCACACAAAATTCCATTTTTCCAGAATGCTTATCAGTAGTTCTTTTGCTTCTGGGGATCCTAGACCACCACTTTAATAAGTAATGGATGCCATAGATCCTCTTACCAGAAACAGTGACATGTGCACAGATTTCTATACAATTTCATGGACAGCCTGGCAGTCATTCTAACCTACTGAAAAACTGCTGGAATTCTATACTTCCTTCCAGGTCCAGATCGGTTACCATGCATTCCCTGGTGCATTCCCAGTCTTCTTCCGGTGGTGGGCGGGATCCTCATGCTTGGAGGGCTTATGGCTAAGTCACTTGCTTGGAAATTTGTGGCAAATGACTGTGAGCCCTATTTTATACTACGGCCCTGCACGCCTTCCCCTTGTGCTATTTAAATTTTTATCTACATATGTCTTATTTCCCTCACTGGAACTGGAGTCTAAGGGCAGGAAATGTTTTAGTCACCTTTGTACGCCCAGTGACTACTTCGGGGACTGGTGTGAATTCATTCATAAATTAATATGAATGACAGAGACTATGGCTCTCCAAAAATTTTAAGCTCCTTCATGGAAGGGACTACCTGGCTTTGATCTGATTCCCAGAGTAAGAGGTGCTCAAGAAATGTGCCAATCGATTGGTAAGAAGATAGTAATGGGGGCGCCTGGGTGGCTCAGTCAGTTAAGCATCTGCCTTTGGCTCAGGTCATGATCTCAGGGTCCTGGGATCGAGCCCTGTGTCAGGCTCCCTGCTCAGCGGGGAGTCTGCTTCTCCCTCTCCCTCTGCCCCTTCCCCTGCTTGTGCTCTCTCTCTCTCATTTGAATAAATCAAATCTTAAAAAAAAAATAGTAATAGGATCTACTGAGCACTTCCTACACTCTGAAACTCCTTATGAGCATGACTGTCCTTTGTCCTTACAAACCTCACGTGGGTGGGAGTTACTACCTCCATTTCATAGAGGAGAAAACCAAGAACCAGAATTAGGTCAAGTTTTTCAAGGTCAATTAGCCGGTACGGGTTAGAGCTGGTGTGAGAATTCAGGTGTGTATGACTCCCTAGTAATTCCTCAAAAAAAAAAAAAAATCACAGCTCACTGATTTGCTCTGGGGTTCATTCTGAGAAGGGCCCTGCCCTACATACTTTCAGTTTTATTTTTACATGTGTTGTGTGGTCAGGCCCAACCCCCTACAGCTCTGTGGACAAGTAGCAAGTGACGGTGGCCTTGACCCCGGCTGGCCTGAGGCAGACCGCAGTCGGGTTCTCTGTGAGGGGCTGACGCCAGTGCTCACCTGTCCGTCAGAGGCGTGATCACCAGGCGAGGCGTATTTCCCAGGTACTCGTAGGAATAGAGAAACTGCGCATCACAGATGTTGGCAAAGCAGTGTTTGGCTTCATCATCCCAACGATGCCGCAGCTGGGACAGCCAGAGGAAGGCCTGAGCACTGTCCACCTAAAGAGAGGGTGAATCACTGTCCAGCAGGGAGCATGGGGCCTGCTGGCCACAGGACACACAGGGCTCTGGATGAGCTGGGTGTTGTCTGCCAGTCAAGAGTATGTGCTGGGCCCCCCGTAGCACAGAAAGCACGAGCTGTTCTGATGATACTCACTGTTGGGAGCAGCCACCATGACCCTCTCCCGGCTCTCCGGCCAGCACAGAGTCTGGGACCTCCATGTTTGAGCTGTATGTGAGCTTCTCCCTTATCCCACCATTCATGGTGTAGTTGCCCACCAAGAGGGACCCTCCTGAAATGTCTGGGACTCACCTTCTGAGCAATCATCTTGGCCACCACATCCCGGGCATGCACATCAATGGTGCATATGGTCATGATCTTCTGCCGGTCCCCTTTGGAGAGATGGCCAATTAGCATGGTGATGAGGGTTTTGAGCTGGGCCACTTGCTTCTTGTAATAGTCCTTCATGGCATTCTCGTAGCCTTCCTCCAGCCTGGCAAATGCAATGCCCACCTCTGTGGTCCACCAGATCTGAGTGCAGGTCAGGGCCACCTGTGGCACAAGGAGCCACTGAGTAAAGCCATCACCTCACCAGGACTATCTCCCAAACCAGCCCACTCACCCATCAGCCAGCAAGAACCAGAATGGAATCACATGGGTGACGTAAGCCCCTTCCCTCCCTCTTCCAACAGCCTTGATTAAGCGAGCCACTTGTCTCCATCTCCTTGGAGATGGGAAGTGGTTCCAAGTGGGGAAAGCGCTTTCTGCCCTTGAAAAAAATGTACTGTTTGGTTGAAAACAACCAAAGAGTCACTCTGGTCAATGTCAGTGGCTTTTAGAAATTGCTACACTGATCTTTCCATTTTTACCTCCCAGGCAAACCATCTTTCCTGTGCTTGGGAGGTTAACAATATGCTGACTGAACATCTCAATAGCACTTAGACTTTGTTCTGTTCTTCCTGAACTTTTTGTGGTCTGAGTATTCTAGCTTAATGAGCCACCGATGATCATTTGTGGCACATTTTTGCTTGTCCATAACACTTTTGCTACATATATTTTTTTAGTTTTTAAAACCTGTCACCTTGAAAAGCCCACTCTTGAAGATCAAGGTGAATTACAGCAAAATTCAACGTGGTCAACAGGATTTGTGTTTTTCAGAGGTTCGAAACAGATACATGGAAAAGGGATTCGAATGAACATTTCTTCTGTTTGCTGAGAACTTAATATGGAAAAGGCATTATTCTGATTATTCATGGTGGAGAATTTAGATGCATTGATCATCTGTTGTATCGTTTGATTTGGGAGACCCTGCTCTAGAGATCCATCCCAATAGCAGAAGGCAACACATTTTCTTGCCTCAAAATTCTGATTCAGGTAAACAAAGGAATCCTGACAGGAATGATCCTCTTTGTGAAAAAGAGAAACCCATCATATACATGTACCATTCTCTCATTTATCTGCTTTTGCCTCTGGGTTTAGACATACGGTTCTGCCTGCGCTGTGATCTTGTTGGGATGGTTTGAATGTGACATGCCAACTGCACAGTTAAAAGACTTCTTCCCTTACCCTCCTACACTGTTGGTGGGAATGCAAGCTGGTGCAACCCCTCTGGAAAACAGTATGGAGGTTCCTCAAACAGTTGAAAATAGAGCTACCCTACGATCCAGCAATTGCACTACTGGGTATTTACCCCAAAGATACAAATGTAGGGATCCGAAGGGGTACGTGCACCCCAATGTTTCTAGCAGCAATGTCCACAACAGCCAAACTGTGGAAAGAGCCAAGATGTCCATCGACAGAGGAATGGATAAAGAAGAAGTGGTATATATACACAATGGAATATTATGCAGCCCTCAAAAGGAATGAGATCTTGCCATTTGCAACGACGTGGATGGAACTGGAGGGTGTTATGCTGAGTGAAATAAGTCAATCAGAGAAAGACATGTATCA